CCTGCCGGCTTCTGCGTGGAGCGAAAGGCTCTCCTGGAGCCTCGCTTTGCTTAAAGCTTTTATAAACAGCGCTACGCTGCACATGCTTCCTTTACAAATCTTAAAATGCCAATAACTTGCTCAAGAGAAGTTGTACTGAATAGTTAAAGCGGGGAAGCCGAGCTTTAGTCAGCTAATGCGTGTTTATGTGGTCTCTTGTGACTGGGCGGGGTAATCGGTGCCCCGTTGTCAGGAATTCCTCCAGGCGGTGAGGGTCACCGGCGTATGGGAAATGGGGGTTTGATTTGTCTTTGGGTGCCGGGCATCGGCTGGTCCTACAGTGGTAACTTTTTTCCTTGGGCCCTTCAGGGATATTGTCACAGGAATGTCACTTCGAGAAGTTCCGCAGGTTTGGAAGTTCTTACATTGCGGCTTCGTATGTGAAGTTTTTGGAATCTGCTGGTGCCCGAGTTGTGCCAATAAGGTAGATTTTTACATCCTTACAAGTGGGTAATAATTGTTTAATGTAAGGGTATCATCTTAGAGGCACAGAAAGCAGTTGTGCTGTTTTTCTGAGTGCTTAGAGCGCCTCAAAGGCTGTTTGAAGATGCCACAGTTTGCTGGGTTTTTTAGAATCAGAATAAAAGCAGATGGGAACATGTAATTTTTAATATTTCTTCTTATGATAACAGCCTTCCTTGAAAAATGTTATTGTTTAACCTGTGAAATTACCCTCCATAGTTTACATCTCTGTTTTTTGAAGTTAGCTATATTCAGCCTAATGTGTAGTGCCCCACAAACACACATATATATATCTAGACACACACACACACACACACACACATATATATAAAATCTTTTCTCACGTTCTGTAGTCCTAGAATTCAAGTATTGGAGGAAGGCGATCTGCGTTCCTTGAAGAAACCAAAGTTCAGTTCTGCTCTGACTGGGTCACTAACTCCATGTGGTGTTGTACTTTGGTTGTTGGGTAAAAAGCAGCAGAGCAGTAAATGAGCGGACAATATTTTATAGCTAACAGTTAACTGTAAAACAGTAAATGCACTAAAATCAGATGTTAAAATGATAATTGTCAAAAGTTTAAAACGGTACTAATGCAGAAAATCACAATAGGATGTATCTATGCCATCCACTAAGAGCACTAGTTAAGTCCCTGAATTAGAAGCCAGCGTTCCTCATGTAGCTGGTGGAGCTTTCAGAACGGTTGCTGACCAGGAGCTTCATCGATGGATGGAGGCTTCTAATTCTGGCACCTAAGTTAGATGCAGCAAAGCTGGATGCTTTGAATATACCCAGTGTATGAGTTCTGTATGAGTGTAGCCGTCATGCTAGTTTGCTGATACTTTGCTGATGCTGAGGTCTTTCTCATCTTTCCATGTCTCAACTGTATCTTTGCTGAAGAATGGGTGTGACCCACTGTTTGCAGCTCTGCCCTTCTTGGAGTCACTTGGAAACCGGAGTTGCCGGTCTGCAGGAAATAACCACCATGCCATTAATGTAAATGTTAAATTTAACAAGTGTCTGCAAAGGGGTCTCAGAGTACCTAATCCTGAACTGTACAGGGTTCTATTTTCAGTCTTGTGGATTTTCAATTGCTACTGAGCTGTTTCAAGTCAAATGTTTCATTTGGGACTATTTTATTCTGTTTAAAGCATGTGTTCCACATACTTTCTGTGTCCCCTGTTTCTGTTCAACGATGATATTTTTTGTGGTTAAATATGTATATTTCATATGTGTTCTGTAACTGTTTTCTTGGTGTTACAGATTAAATCTTTCAGACGAAGAATATGACAAAATATTCCACTCTATTAATGGGTAAGTTTTGAGCCCTGATTTTCTATTGAAAGACGTGATAGTTCTGCTTTTGAGCTCTGCCGTATTCTTAGGAACACTGTCTTTCACTCTCTTGAGAGGTCGTGCTGAGTGCTGCAGACTTGTAAATATGTTCCAAGACA